GATTAAAAATGAAAATTTTATTGAGAAGGATGAAAGTGGGGCCACGTCCCGGTCCCAAACCCCACCCCATACCCCCACCCCACACTCGGTGCCGTTCAGCACCCACTGCCCCCCAGCACTGCCCCGATGGCGGTGGAAGCACAGTGAGGAGTCTGGGGGGGGGGACGACACACCACAGTTGTCACCCCCACCTTTTATCAACACACACCCCCCGCTGCACCCTCATCATCCTCACCTTCATCACCCGACGGGGCGCATCCCCCACATCCAGGGCCAGCCACGTGTTGGGGGGGGGGGGACGACAGCGTGAAGTCAGCGTGACGCCTGTCCTCACCCACCGGGTGACACCACGGTGACGTCCTCGTGCCGGGGGTTGTGTCCCTATAGGTGTCACCCATGGGGAACCACCAGCTGTGTCCCTATAGCTGTCCCCCATCCGGTCCTGCTGGCTGTGTCCCCATAGGTGTCACCCATTGGGTACCACCAGCTGTGTCCCTATAGGTGTCCCTCATCAGGTAGCACTGGTTGTGTCCCTATAGGTGTCACCCATCGGGTAGCACTGGTTGTGTCCTTAGAGGTGTCACCCATGGGGTACCACCAACTGTGTCCCTATAGGTGTCCCCCATCAGATAGCACTGGTTGTGTCCCTATAAGTGCCCCCCATTGGGTCCTGCTGGCTGTGTCCCTATAGCTGTCCCCATCAGGTAGCACTGATTGTGTCCCTATAGGTGTCACCCATGGGCTACCACCAGCTGTGTCCCTATAGCTGTCCCCCATCCAGTCCTGCTGGCTGTGTCCCTATAGATGTCCCCCATCTGGTAGCACTGGTTGTGTCCCTATAAGTGTCCCCCATCGGGTCCTGCTGCTTGTGTCCCCATAGGTGTCACACATGGGGTACCACCAACTCTGTCCCTATAGATGTCTCCCATTGGGTCCTGCTGGATGTGTCCCTATAGCCGTCCCCCATCAGGTAGCACTGCTTGTGTCCCTATAGGTGTCACCCATGGGGCACCATGAGCTGTGTCCCTATAGATGCCCCCCATCAGGTAGAAGTGGTTGTGTCCCTATAAGTGTCACCCATGGGGCACCGTGAGCTGTGTCCCTATAGCTGTCCCCCATCAGGTCCTGCTGTGTCCCTATAGATGAACCCAACAGGTAGCATTGGCTGTGTCCCCATAGGTGTCACCCATCGGGTACCACCAGCTGTGTCCCTATAGCTGTCCCCCATCAGGTCCTGCTGTGTCCCTATAGATGAACCCAACAGGTAGCACTGGCTGTGTCCCTATAGGTGTCACCCATGGGGCTCCACCACATTGTCACATGTGCCACCCATGGGGTACCACCGGTCGTGTGTCCCTATAGCTGTCCCCCATCAGGTAGAAGTGGTTGTGCCCCTATAAGTGTCACCTATGGGGTACCGCCAGCTGTGTCCCTATAGCTGTCCCTCATCAGGTAGCACTGCTTATGTCCCTATAAGTGTCACCCATGGGGTACCACCACATTGTCACATGTGCCACCCACGGGGTACCACCGGTCGTGTGTCCCTATCGATGTCCCCCATCGGGTAGCACTGGTTGTGTCCCTATAAGTGTCACCCATGGGGCACCGTGAGCTGTGTCCCTATAGGCGTCCCCCATGGGGGTAGCACTGCTTGTGTCCCTATAGGTGTCACCCATGGGGCACCACCACATTGTCACATGTGCCACCCATGGGGTACCACCGGTCGTGTGTCCCTATAGCTGTCCCCCATCAGGTAGCAGTGGTTGTGTCCCTATAGGTGTCACCCATGGGGCACCGTGAGCTGTGTCCCTATAGGTGTCCCCCATCAGGTAGCAGTGGTTGTGTCCCTATAGGTGTCACCCATGGGGCACCATGAGCTGTGTCCCTATAGATGCCCCCATCAGGTAGCACTGGTTGTGTCCCTATAAGTGTCACCCATGGGGCACCATGAGCTGTGTCCCTATAGGTGTCCCCCATCAGGTAGCACTGGTTGTGTCCCTATAAGTGTCACCCATCAGGTAGCACCGGCTGTGTCCCTACAGACGTCCCCCATCGGGTACCACCACCACCCCCATCACACCGCCGTCAGTCCGCTCACCCCTCCGAAAGTCCCGTGGGACGTTCCCACCCTGCACCCATGGGTGCTACGCTTGTGCCCCCGCCGCCGACCCGTTTGGGGCGGCTGTGGCCCCATCCGAGGAGCCCTTCAAGGCCAGGAGGCGCTGCTGCTCCCTCTGCAGCCGGTAGTGACGGATCTTCTTCTTCTGGTAATACAGGCGGTACGCAACAGCCCCAGCCGCAACCACCGCCACCGCCACCACCGCCAGCGTCACCCAAAGGCCCACGTTGACATCCCAGTCTGGGGGGGGGAAAGCAGTGTCAGCACCCCGCGTGTGTCACCACCTCCACCCCATACCCCCATCACCACGTGTGACACCTCCACCCCATACCCCCATCCCCACATGTGTCACCACCTCGACTCCATACCCCCATTCTGGGTGTCACCTCCATCCCATACCCCC